CAGCCCCCGCGGCACCGCCCCGGCACTGCCCCCCGGCCGAGACTCGGTGGAGGGCTCAAGCTGCCCTGGGGACAGAAAAACCTTCTTGGTTAAAATAGGACGGGGAGGGGGAGAAGAAGAAGAAGAAGGAAGCGAAGGGAAAATAAAAACGCTGGGGAAAAAAAAAAAAAAAGGAAAAAGAGGAAAAAAAAAGAAATCAGAGAAGAGAATTCCTCAACGTCCTGCAAAGATTTAACAAAAAGTCCGCTCTGCCCACAGGCAGCTATTGGGCTCAAACTGCACGGCAGCTGCTGCCAGCGTTGCTGCATCCCCCACACTGCTCATCACCATTTCACCAGAGATCGTAAGGAAGTCACTTCACTTTTTGGCAGGGTTTTGCCAGGAGTCAGAGTTTGCTGAGAGTTAAAAAGCGGGCAGGATGAAGCTCAAAGCCTCAGATGAACATAAGGAGCCCTCTGAACATAGGGATAACCAGCCATGGACACGCTTGAGCCACAATCAAAGCCTCAGGCATGGTCATGGAAAAGACTTGCATTGAACGTGAACGGCCCTGGCTCCGAATACCTTGTGGATATTGAGTGAAATGTACATTTCATCTTTACTACGTTATATATTTGAAAATACATATATGCTACAGAACAGATACAGTTCACTGTAAAAAGTTGACAGGAAGTAAGGTGGTTCTTCTCCAAGATTCTATTACTTTGCCACAATTTTTCATGGAAAGATCTCATTGCTACCGAGAACCAGCAGTACTTGTTCATGCAAACACTCCTCTATTAAGTCATCTGGCTCTCACCGGCTTTACTAGGTATAGTATTGTTAACTCTCAACAGTCTCATTTGTGCTTTTTTTCCTTATATATACATAATTGCTCTGTCAACTTGCTGTCAAGGTAAAATAGAGCCTGAAAAATCATGCCCAAAAGACAAACGTCATTTAGAACTACGATGAGATGCTAGACTGGAAGTGCTCAGCAGCCTGAGCTGATGTGCTCTCACTGCAACGCTGACACCTTCGAAAACACACAGGGTTTTTTCTATCCTTTATCACAAAGATGTGGCTGCAGAGTCACTGCCCAGCAAATTTTTGCAGCAGCCCATGAATTTATACCTGTGCCTGGTTATTTTCGAAGGGCTCATATATCAAGAAAAGAGGCAACTCTTGAGTCGAGCCTGCAGAACAGCTCATTTCCAGCAGGCTGTACAATACCTGATGACTTTCCCTCCTCCACTGACTCTGTAGCCTGATACTGAGACAAGACACCACTGCTGCCATCCTCCCCGGGGACTGCCCCTCCATTGCACCGATTTCCTGCTGTAGCGCCAGGTCAGGAAATTAGTCTTGATTAGAACTAACCTAGGCAAAAAAGGAAAAATAGGTCTGTGTTTTGACTGCTTATTTGTATAACCCAAATACTGGGCTTGGGAGGGAAAGGATGGAGCAAAATGAGGCACAAGGGCAAGAGCAACATAGCTGCCAGACTGTGAAACTGGGGCCACAGGTTTAAATTCTCTTGCACGCACGTGCCTTGTTCTTTTCCAGATATAACTGTCTTATCTAATAATCAATATTATTTTACTTGTGCTTACCTTCATTCCCTTTGTTTCTATCACAGCAACTTGATTTTCCCCCTTCCACTCTTGCAGGAAGCTGGCTGTTTCAGGAGATGAAGCAGCAATACACCCAAGCTGTGAAGGTCTCTCACTTCATTAACAGCTTCACAGGTTCCCTGCCACACAACTACAGTGTCCCTAAGACTACTTAATGAAAGCAAGCACAGCTAATTCCAGGTACCTTCTGTAAAGCTTTAGATTTGAATTGACCATTAAATACGAAGTGAATTAAGTTTATTGCTACACTACATGCAGCAGAGATGACAGATAAATTTAGCAGTTCCTTTTACTAACACATACAGAAGTTAGCCATTTACTATAATACTTTTGTCCTGGTTTTAGCTGGGACAGAGTCAGCTCTTTCTTTTTAGCAGCTAGAAGAGCTCCGTGTTTTGGTTTTACTCAGAGGCTCGCTCTGAGAAGAATGTTGATAGCAAGCTGATGTTTGTGGTTGGCCAAGGACTTTTCAGTATGCCATGTCCTGGCTGGAGTGCAGAAGCACGGCAGGATAAGGGGGGGAGCATAGCCGGGACAAAGGGGCCATGATTCCCCTTGTGATTTGTAGTGGAACTTAAGATTGAGGCCAAACTGGCCAATTAGTATTCCATATCATGCAGCGTCATGCCCAGTATAAAAGTGAGGGACAGCTGGAAAGAAGGGCTTTTGCGCTTTGGCTCTTTTGCTGCTTTTGCTCTCCTGCGCTTTCGCTGTTGCCTTTTTTTTCCTCTCTCTTCCAGTACTCCCACTCTCAGAGTACTATCTCTCTCTCTCTTCCTCTCTATTTCGGGGCCTCGTGTTCATCCGGGCTTGCAGCTTCAGGACGAGACAGGCTGCAGATAAGAGGGGGTGGTGAGCATCTACACTGTGTATTAAATCATCTGTATTAAATTGTTCTTATCTCAACCCACGGGTTTCCCGTTTCTCCTTTAATTCTCTCCCTCATCACTGGGGCTGGAGGAGGGTGAGTGAACAACTGTGGTGAGGTTTGGTTGCCAGAGCAGCCTAACCCACGACAATTTTCACATGCTTTTGATTATGTATTGTTTAAAACAGAAAACTGAGATGACATTCCAAGAACTAGTGAAACCTAAACTAGCAAGAGGCATAAAGGAAAAGAAACTCTTCTTCAAAGAACAAAGACTGGTTACCTTTGCAGAATCAGAAACACTTGCTTCAAAAACTAATCCGTCAATTGTAAAACTTTCAGCTATTATGGGCTTTGGCAGGAGGAGCGAGTTCAAGAGCTTCTCTCTCAGAACCAACCTCCAGAAAAGCCAGCTAAACTAGCACCGTTTTCAGCAAAAACACTTCTGAGGAACTTGCTTTTACAAATGCAAGAAACAATGGGAGATGCCCGATCGGGCTGTGCTCCCCAGCTGCCCCTTCCCCAGTAAAATTCCCGAATAGGAGTATGGTAACAGAATCCCTGTTACCAGCAAATCATGGAAACTGACTTGGCCTGAGTTACAGAGGAAACCACAGCATGCTGTTGCACATCATTTATTCTAAGTACTCTGAGGTCTGATCAGAGGAGGCAAACAGAGAACACTTTAGATTCAGAATTTAAAACAAATTCAGTATGTATATTACTTAAACTTTTATTTACATAAGGCATCGAATTTTCCCTTTTTAACAAAAGGGTCGTTTTCCCTTTTACCAATACTTTGGTGAAAGAAACGTCACATTTAGTAGACTAATATTCACTGGTACACTTGTTATGAACAAGCAGGTACAATTCAACATACAAGACGAAAAACAAAATGCAAAGAGCTAAGTATACTGTTTCATGAATCACACTTTAAACTTAATTAAGGCTTGTTTGCATCACAATGATGATCAATCATGCACCATTTATTCCCACAAAAAATAAAATTCATTTCCAACTGGAACAGGAATAGCAAAACAAGTCTGGTATAATCCCCATATTGTCTACATCAAAAAACAGTTTGGCATCTTAGAAATTACATTGAAAAGTAAGGGGAAAGAGAGAAGAAAACAGAAAATGGCCCTTGCTTTAGAATCCTTTATGAGCATTTCCAGTGTCCATTTGCAGGAACCCTTCAGTTTATACAAGGAAAACAAGGCTTTCAAGGGCTGATCTAGAAACATTTTCAGAAAAACTGAAGTTATGGTTCCATTGACCATGAATATGAAATATGTAGAGAAAATACATTGTTTGGAATAATGAATTCCACACTGAGATCCCCAAGTAAATGGCGTATATACATTGAGCTGAGCCTGTTTAATAGGTCAGACTTACAAAAGTGGTAAACCTGTATTATTTTTCTGCCTGATTTCATAATTCCTGAGTTTTAGATCACTGCTGAGCCACAGCAGACAAAACTCTGAATGATGTAGTGAAAAGTTCTGCAAATCACTTTAGCACACATTTTGTTCAGCAACTTTCAATCATCAATAAAAGTCAGTCTTCCCGGTCCTTCATTTTTCATCCACCTCCGGTATCTCTTCCATCGGGGATCCATGGCCATCTTCTTCTTTAACTCCTCCTCTTGTTCTCTTTTGTAGACCTGATAGACAGACAAAAGTTTTTAATAAGGTTGAAGAAACAGCTTAAATGAATCTCAAGGAGGGTGTAAGCATTTGTAGTTCTATCATTTGCCAGCTTATTATTTTTACAGAAGACTGAATCGCAATACAGATGTGGACCTTGACCAACATCAAGTCTAAGAGTACCTTCAGCCAAGGAGACTACTGGCTGTAGCTGAAATGCTTTCCACTTTTGCTGAAAGCAGAACTACCTCCTTATAAGACAGTGGCTGCAAGCTCCAAAACTCTTTTGCTAAAGAACTACATGTTCGTGCATTCAGCAAAATCAAATTGACAGCAAAGAACTGCTAATGCTAATTTTGAGTCCTTTCTCAGCACACATACTGTTCGATGCAGTTGTTCAGCTCCTCACTTCAGCTGTTTTCCCATTTCAAAGTCATTGTCTAGATAGAATACTGCTATGGAACTTTTTATTCCTCATTAACTTTCTCAACTAAGTTAATATCTCTGCAGTTAAGTATTGGCAGTATCAAACCATAAGTAATTACATACTGTCAAGAAATGGTGTCATTGTAATGCAATCTACAATTACCAGCAAAGTCACATATCTAAAAAAAGCAACAGCACCTGCACTTTTATTCCAGAAGACAGTTTACATAGATATGTAATGTAAATGTTATTTAGTGTAAACCTCAACACCATACAGGTTTATGTCATCTCGGTGTCAGACTTCTTCTCAGAAAGGAAGTAAATTTAAGGTTCTGCTAGTCACGAACAAGATTTTAAAAATATTATAGATGGCTTTATAAATACGTCAGCTCAATCATACAAGTTTTAAGAATTTATAGGAAAGCAACAGGGGGGAAATATTGTGGAGATCCATGATGTATTCATGAATTGAATTATTGGTCTTTCCCATCCTAAAAAGGACACTGGAAAACTGAACAATATGCAAATAGGCATCTCCAATGATGAAAGAACAGAGAAGCTTTTGGTGAGAAATTTCTAGGCTGAAAATATGCTGGGTTAAGACATGACTAAGTTTCAAGTACGGATATGGCAGTGGTACACAGGAGTACAGGCAGCATGAGAAAAGAGTAAAGCATGATTATTCTCCATTTCCAGTAATAAAAGAACCAGCAGGTGTCCAGGTGGCTTCAAAAAAACCCTCTTCTACACATACTGCTGAACTCATGACCAGATGGTACAGCAGTCACTGAAAGTTTTAATGCATGCAAGGAGTGACTAGATAAGTTTATTGAAGAAAAACTCATTACAGCAATTAGCTACAAAGACACTGCTTCTTTTCCAGGAAGTCCCAAGGCTGCAAATTATACTGGATAAATACTACTATACAGGTGCAACTTTCATGAATTCTTTACTAAAAATCAACTGCTGGCCACCACAGGAGATGACTTCAGGCTCAACAGACTTCACTTCTGGCAAATACAGCTCTTTTATACTTAGTAACCAAAACATCACAAGTTAGAAACAGCATGGATCTCAAGCCATGTCATTTTTTCTCTACAACAACAGGATATCCATGTTTTCTTGCTTTTTCCATGAAACAGCTGTTTTGACTAGTAACATTACTCAACCTCCCAGATTGTTTTCTAGGAAACCCAGCAAAATTCAAGACATAGATCTACCTGTTGGCTAATCCTTTCCTTACATTAGCATCGATTTTCCTCTTCCAGTTTCTAGATTAATGCGCCTCTACCTACTTTTAAACAAGCATTCTCTGTACCCTGACAGCAGCAACGGCAGTTCTGCACCACCCTATTTCTTTTCCTAGCATATGCAGAGCAGCAGCAACATCGCCTCTTTCCTTTAAGCAGGCCAAGTTTGTATTCTCAGTTTCTCTTCCAGAAACCTCTCACCCAGATGGCTCACAGATGAGCTTCTGTGGAACAATAAAAGTGTTTTTGTCAATCTGCCACCCCCCAGCATCTCAAGTCACTCTGGACTGTAATTCCATGGTGTGGCTAATGTTCTTTCATTCTCTCACAGAAAGCTTTAAAAAAAAAATTAACATATTGACTGTTTAGTATCTGGCTATCGATGGCAAGAGTAGCAGTTGTGCCCAATGGTATTTCATATACCATCTTTACTTGAATAGGCATACACCACAGCAAGAACAGTCCCTTTCTCACTGTAGGCCAAAGAACTATCAAGGGACAGTTTGAAAAAAAAATGAGCTAGGAATTAATGGCGTATAAGACTGATGAAACAGGAGTTTCAGATGATCCACGTAACCTTTATTACAAGTTATTACTGTTTGGAGAACAGTCCAATGTAATACTGTAATAACTTTAATATCACACTGTTATAAGAAAGCCTTTCATCAGACTCAACTACGTTTTGTAAGCACAGATTCCCTTAACAAACAGAGGTGGAAGTGCCCTGACCAAGCAAATCCTGTCCTATATCCATGGGCATGGTCAGGAGCTGCTGTCTACCAGTCCCTCAGCATAAGAGGTTGAAGAAAACACACCGAGTGGTTGTCTAACAGTTTGCAATTTAGAAAGCAATCGAAGTAAGGCTTCATACAGCCCTATGCTCCCAAGCACCTTCACAAAATAGTTGTTCTTAGTCTGAAAGCACTGGATAAGTAACATTAGCTTTTCCACCAGAGCTACCCACCTCATAGTTTTCTCGTATCCACAGCTGTCGTTCAAGAAAGGTCTCCTTTTGATGATCCTCCAGGCTGTCAAACTGAGACTGAGACATTTTCATGTACCTCCGTATGATATACAGCTTCTCTTCCACACCATACTCTTGCCCTTTAATAGTGAAACGATAAATCCACCAACAGCACCAAGCTATGTATTTGACCACATAAAAAGGAGCGAGAAGGATCTGAAATAAAAGTATATCATATATCTTGGGCTTCTGATAACCGCCTTTTATATCTATTTTGTTTTTAATAATGTCTTTGATGATTTCTTCCTCTTCTTCACGAATTTCTTCTTTAGACCGCCTGTTCTTGCCTTTTTCTTTAGTCTTGTTGAGTAAACCTTGTTGCCTGGCAATCTCAGTAGCCTGAATGCGGTATTTCGGCACTGTAGCTAGGTAGTTGATAGCTTCATTGTAACTACTCCACCAGCTGAAGAACTGCAATTGAAGAACAGTAAAAGAATGTTTTTATACAGACACATTCCTATTTGGAGGCTTGCCAGGAAAAAATATAATGCTGTCGTACACCTTTAACCACAATTATGTTACAGCAAGGGTAAAAACTGAAGGTAACAGTGTTGCTTCTGCAGTATTACAAAAGATAGTTATTCCTCCAGACTTAGTAAGGCACCTGGAAAACAAATGCATAGTGTGTATCCAACAGCAACATATAGTGACAAGCAAGGCCAAGCAGACACTGTTCATTCAGATCAGTTTTGTTCACGAGAAGATGGCAACCTCCTGAAGCTCAACATAAGGCTGTGCTGGCCATTCTCACAAGCCCACTTGGATTTATAAATAAAGCTGGTATATGAACATTTCATTATGAAATTGCTACCCACTTAAAATAGTTAATTAAACATGGATTAAGTACCTGAAAATCTCATTACTCTGACAGGATTGACTCTACAAGATTCAATATCCTTCTCCAATCTCCAGCTACCCTCTGAATTTCAATGGAAAAACAAAACAAAACAAACACCTACAACAACAAAACTTAAAAAACCCAAATCAAACAACAAAGCAAAAATATGGTGCCTGGGGTGAACATGTCTTATTGGGGCAACTTTTTTAAAAAAGCAGCATTTCACACTGTTCACCAAGACAAAGCTCAGATCTGTACAAATTATACAACCTTAAGAAAGGTCACAAAGCAGAAACAACAGAAAGCAAGACAGAGGCAAACTGGTTTACAGATGTTTACACTAATTTGCAATCTTCCAGCAGCTGGACCACAGGAAATTGAGTATCTCCACTTAGAGTCAAAATAAGAAATAAGAGGTGAAATGAAACTTTGCCATTGGAAGTAAGTCTGAAGAGAAATTAAGTAATTGATTAAGAAATTGAATGCTTATCAACCTATCTTTGATTTTACTTCCACTATTCCACTAAAAAGTGAGCTATCTGGACCACAGAATAAGCTGTATGCTCATCTCTTAAACTTTTTGGGTATTTTTGATAACGTTTTGAACCAGTAATCCAATAAATGCTAAAGAAAAGAGTCATGCACCTTCTTCCACTTAAATATTTGTCAGCAATAGCACAAGTTCTCATCTAAAACATAGCCTGTTTTCTTGACCTTGGAACTACCACTTAGAGAGCAAACTTCACGGAATCAAATTCACTTGTCTCTTGACTTCACTGTGGTGTTTAAAATATACTGCAACGTAAGATTCACACATTAGTAAACTCCTGATATTCAGTCCTATCATCTGAATTGATTATTAGAAATTAATTTGCAATTAGTCTGGTTTTCAAAAAATCACTTAAGCAGCTTAACAACTGACAAATGCTTATTTGGAGCACTGGTCCTGCCTGTGCTCAGGCACAGGCTATTCTCAGCCTGCAGTGAAGAACTAAGTAACTTCTTTAGAAAAGCCATGCTTGTCTCTACAAAATATCCTACCATCAAAGGAAACTAATCTCTACCTTTGTCCAAGGTACCAAGGGCAGCCAAAAGTCTGGCCAGTACATCCTGACTTCAGGGACACCACACAGCAGTTTATCACAGCAAACAGGAACATGCCTTTCCTCACTGACACCGTTTAACACCCAGTGCATTACAAGAGCTGCAGATAATTCTCCTTCCATTCAGAAACTCACTGAGTAGTGTCACATAAACAGGAAATTTTACCTGAAACACAGAGATGGCACACACTGTAACCAGAATCACTATTCTGACATCCACTTTAGGTGCCAGTCTCCTGCTGTAGTAGTGATAATAATGCCTGTAATACTCTTCGGGATGATCCAGCATGTAGTCGTAATCTTTCCGTGTTTCTTCATCCTGCAGGATGAGATGAAAAACATCCATAGGGTCAGACTCCTGTTTTCACTTACTGTTACAGCTGTGTTTTACATCTCATTAATGACCATGCTGCTATAAAATTTGCAATAGCCTGGCTGATTATAAAGCACAGAGGAAAACCTTTGGTCCTCTTCTCATATTCTCAGTTCATTTATTCTCAAAGTCATCTGTCCATACACATCTGACATACGTGATCTTAAATGCATACACACACACGGCATGAATACATTTAATACTGAAATAAAGACAGGCAACTGAAATTCACATAGTAAGTATTTTTGATTTCAGAATGGGAAATCCCAATTGACTAGAGTTAATAAATATTGCTCAGGAAAAGATTTTCAGATGAAGAACCTATTAAGAGCTTGTTTTACAAGTCTTTTACAATTAGCCTCCAAGGCTGTGGAATCTGTCCAATGGAAGGTTGTTTCAAAACCGCATTGTTCTCATTTTCTCAGAGTTTTTCTCATTTTCATCCATATAATTAAGAGGCAAGAAATTTAATTTTGTCAGCCTTAACTACATTCCTTTCCTATCCCCAAAAACGTTCCCTTTTTTCTCGCCTACAGCCTTAAAACACTTACGGGTTTCTTTCTTCTGCACCTGAGTTGCATCTTTGCCAAGCCATGCACATTTTGCCCTGATAATGGATATGGGATAACACAGATCCCGTATGCTACTGGAGTCGCTGTTACTTTTTTGTTTAAAGGTATACCTTTAAGATAAAGCCCACCCGGTTCATTTTAAACACAAAGGATTTTCAAGGCAACACATTCTAAATACAAAGGGACCTTCAAGAGAACTGCCTCCTCTCCACGCACTCTTGGACTGGTTACTGAAGAAGGTTTTTAAGGGAGTTTTTTTCCCTCCTCCCCGACTGCTAGTAGGAAGCAGCCGGCTGAGCCCACACAAAGGACCGCAAACCCGACACTGCAGAGCCTGCCGCGATGCACACAAGCGTAACCCCGAGACGCTCCGACTCCGCCCCGGGAAAGAGACACCTGCGAGGTGCGCACGGCCAAAGCCGGGCAGAATCCCGACGCCAGAGCCGGGTCTCTTTTGACGTACGCTTCAGAGACGGACGCAGCAGAGGAGTCGTGGCCGTCGAGCAAAACGTGGCGGGAACTACATGCCTTTCAGCGTATTTTAAAGCCAAGACTTTCCTTCTCTCGCAACAG